ATTCGTCCAGTGGTTTTTGAGTTCTGTGAATACCACAAACGAACATTACATTTTTATTTATATAGATATGTAATGTGGCTTTGAATTTGCCATGGTCTGTAAGCCACCCTGAGTCCCTCTAGGGGTGAGAAGGGCAGGGTATAAATATAGAATAATAATAATAATAATAATAATAATAATAATAATAATAATAATAATACAATTTTACTTGGGCTGGGTTCTGCAGGAGATTCATCTCACTCCAGAATATACATGACTACAAAATTTAAAAAGTACTAACAGTGAAAACTATATCAAAAGCAGAGCCATGAAACATGAAAATAGAATTTTATTTTATGTTGTGTCAGGAGTGACTCCTGGTGTGAGAGAATTGGCCGTCTGCAAGGACGTTGCCCAGGGGACGCCTGGATGATTTTGATGTTTTTATCATCCTCGTGGGAGGCTTCTCTCATGTCCCCACATGAGGAGCTGGAGCTGATAGAGGAAGCTCATCCGCCTCTCCCCGGATTCGAACCTGCAACCTGTCGGTCTTCAGTCCTGCTGGCACAGGGGTTTAACCCACTGCGCCACCAGGGGCTCCATGAAAATAGAAATGCTTGATATGTGAACAGTCATGGATAAAAATACACAAGTGTTTCCGCTTATCAAATCTCTCCCATTCCACCTCGGGGGGGAAAAGCAGGGAGACAGAAAACCATCTTTTGATTAACCTTCCTTGTACTAGTGTGTGGATTCATATTGTGCTTGCTGTGTTTCACACATTCAATAGAATGAAATATCTGCCAGATCTGTTTCATTACAACATGAGAGATCAATAGCACCTTGTTCGTGCCAGCAAGATACCCGAGAGCTACTGATAATCCCAATGTACTTGAGCTGAGATTTACCTAATCTTATTGGGCTGAAAAAAAAGGCAGTAATACAGTTTTTACCACTAGGTGTTGCTACATTATTGTACCTCTAGTGCTCTTTCGAAATTGTCCCACATTTTAAAAAATAGTGCTTTAGTTTGTCATAGGTTTTTTTTCTTCTGTTTTTAATCAACTTCACTTACGAACCAGGTGCTTCATTTGCTGTTTTCACCTTCAAGATTTGTTTTTAGCTTGCTAAATAACATGTTTTTAAAAGGCTTGCATTATTTTTATGCTTTAAATTGTGTTGAATTGCTTAAATTTATTTGTACGCCAATCTTTAAAAAGCCAGTGCACTCTTCTTCATTCTTTCCTCACTTGGACTACTTTGTCCGATTCTGGACACCACAGTTTAAGAAGGATATTTACAAGCTGGAATATCTCAAGAGGAGGCCAATCAAAAGGCTAAAAGGTCTGGAAGGCAAGGTCTGAGGCACAGCTTAAGGTGCGCGTCCTAGTTTTCTGCTTCCCTGGAGACTAGGACGCAAAACAATGGCTTCAAACTACAAGAGAGGAGATTCCATCTGAACATGAGGAAGAACTTCCTGACTGTGAGAGCCGTTCAGCAGTGGAACTCTCTGCCCCGGAGTGTGGTGGAGGCTCCTTCTTTGGAAGCTTTTAAACAGAGGCTGGATGTCCATCTGTCAAGGGTGATTTGAATGCAATATTCCTGCTTCGCAGAATGGGGTTGGACTGGATGGCCCATGAGGTCTCTTCCAACTCTTTGATTCTATGATTCTATGCTGGGAATGTTTAGCTTAGAAAAAGAAATCTGAGAAGGGACATGTCAACTGTGTTTAAATTTTGGAAAGTTTGTCACAGTGAGATTTGGTGAAAGCTTGTTTTATGATGCTCTAGAGACAGGCATGGAGCAACAGATTCAAACTACAGGAAAAGCAATTTCACCTAAACATCCAGAAACTCTTCATGTTAGTAGGCGCTGGTCAACAGTACAATACCCTTGGATCTCAAGGGAAACCAGAGTATAAATAAAGAAAAATCCAAAATAATGTTTTTTGGTAAGAAAGCTACGGCTTCCAACTGGCACCTTGACGGGCGCAAAGTGGAGCAAGTGAGGACGTTTAAATACTTAGGTCTTCATTTTGCAGCATCAGGGGCATGGACTTAAAATTAAGTATTGCAAAAGCTGATAATGCTGCGCAGTACAATACACTTCTGCTTGGGAGTGTGGTGGAGTCTCCTCTGAAGGCATTTAAACAGAGTATGGCTCTGGGTTTGTCTGTTAAGCGGATTAACCCAGAGGGTGCTCACCAATGCTTCCTCTTCATCCTGGAAAGGGAGCCCCCAGTGGTGCAGTGGGTTAAACCCCTGTGCCGGCAGGACTGAAGACCAACAGGTCGCAGGTTCAAATCTGGGGAGAGGTGGATGAGCTCCCTCTATCAGCTCCAGCTCCTCATGTGGGGACATGAGAGAAGCATCCCACAAGGATGATAAAAACATCAAATCATCCAGGCGTCCCCTGGACAATGTCCTTGCAGACGGCCAATTCTCTCACACTAGAAGCGACTTGCAGTTTCTCAGGTCGCTCCTGACACGACAAAAAAAAAAATCCTGGAAAGAAGTGACGAGCGAAGAGCCACAAGCGAGGTTCCGTCCTGGGCCCGTTCCTGTTCAACATCTTTATGAATGACTTAGATGAAGACTTAGAAGGCATGATCATCAAATTTGCAGACGACACCAAATTGGGAGGGATAGCCAATACTCCAGAGGATAGGAGCAGGATTCAAAACCATCTTAACAGATTAGAGAGATGGACCAAAACTAACAAAATGAAGTTCAACAGGGACAAATGCAAGATACTCCACTTAGGTAGAAAAAATGAAATGCAAAGATACAGAATGGGGGATGTGTGGCTTGAGAGCAGTACGTGTGAAAAAGATCTTGGAGTCCTCGTGGACAACAAGTTAAATATGAGCCAACAATGTGATGTGGAGGCAAAAAGAGCCAATGGGATTTTGGTTTTTTCAATTACTGGTTCCAAAAGAATCCTCACAACCTCTGAGGATGCTTGTCATAGATGCAGGCGAAACATCAGGAGAGAATGCCTCTAGAACATGGCCATATAGCCTGAAAAAACCTACAAAACCCAAAACGGCATGAGTTTCCTATTTATCTCATATTAGAGCTGTTTAACAGTGGAACTCTCTGCCTTGGAGTGTAGTGGAAGCGCCTTCCTTGGAGGCTTGCAAACAGGCTGAGTGGCCATCTGTCAGCGTTATTTCGATTTGGGATTTTCCTTTATGGAAGGGGGTTGGGCTAGATGGCCCATGAGGTCTCTTCCAACTCTACGATTCTGTGATTCTATGATCTCTGAGATTAGGCAAGTAGTAACCATTTTTTTTAAAAGACTTGTGTTAAAAAATTACTCGTGAAAGCCTTTCAGTATATTTTTATTAGCTTGTACAGAACCTTGATTTCATATTTTGACAATTTAAATCTTTTATTGATTTTTGTGAGCAGCTTTGAAATCTCTAGATGTGAGCACATTATAAATACTATTAAATAAATTATCAAGCAAACTCTTAGTATCACTGTAAACAAAATAGTCATTAACAGCCTATATCACATGTACGTATATCTAGTGCATCCAAAATGTCTTTACTCAGCCTCTTGTCGCCAGTGATAGAAAAAACATTTGACACACTTCAAAAGGCACTTTTCTGCTTGTGTGTTTTCCATGCCAAAGTCCCATACACACCTGCCAAAACGTTGTGAGCAAAGGCTGCTGATGAGATTGCAGCTCTGTTTTGTCTTTTGTTTTTCAATTACTGGTTCCAAAAGAACCAAGAAACATGAATAGGAGTCCCAGTGTGTGATCGCACATCACAGTCTACCTTTCTCCAAGGCCAGGATGTTGGTCATTTTCAAATAAGGAAACGGTTTTGGAGTTTTGAGGCTGTTGGCTTGGCCCTGTCACTGTGTAAACGTGTCCTTTGTACAGACAGAGTCCGGAAGAAGTTGAAAAAAGCACCCAAGTTAAAGTCCTAGATCAGGGGTCCTCAACTTTTTAAACAGAGGGCCAGGTCACAGTCCCTCAAACTGTTGGAGGACTGGATTATAATTTGAAAAAAAAAACATGAATGAATTCCTATGCACACTGCATATATCTTATTTGTAGTGCAAAAACACTTTGAAACAATACAATAATTAAAATGAAGAACAATTTTAACAAATATAAACTTATTAGTATTTCAATGGGAAGTGTGGGCCTGCTTTTGGCTGATGAAATAGGGTTGTTGTTCTTGTGTGCTTTCAAGTCGTTTCAGACTTAGATTGACCTTGAGCGAGGGCTGGGTAAATGACCTTGGAGGGCCATATTTGGCCCTCGGGCCTTAGTTTGAGGACCCCTGTCCTAGAGGGTGGGAATCTGAATGCTAAAGAAACCAAGTTTCTTTAGCATTCAGAGTATAGGTTTTTTCGGGCTGTATGGCCATGGTCTAGAGGCATTCTCTCCTGACGTTTTGCCTGCATCTATGACAAGCATCCTCAGAGGTAGTGAGGTCTGTTGGAACTAGGAAAATGGGTTTATATATCGGTGGAATGACCAAGGTGAGACAAAGGACTCTTGTCTGCTGGAGCTAGGTGTGAATGTTTCAACTGACCACCTTGATTAGCATACAATGGGCTGACTGTGCCTGGAACAAACTTTTGTTGAGAGGTAATCAGATGCCCCTGCCTGCTTTCTTTCTGTTGTTGTGCTGTTGCAATTTTAGGTATATATACAGATATATAAACCCTTTTTCCTAGTTCCAACAGACCTCACTACCTCTGAGGAAGCTTGCCATAGATGCAGACGAAACGTCAGGAGAGAATGCCTCTAGACCATGGCCATACAGCCCGAAAAAACTTACAACAATCCAGTGATTCAGGATCTACCCTAGCAAACCTTTTGTATCGTTATCCCAATACCCCCATGCATAGGAGATATATTGAGCATTATGATCAGATCATGATATGAATAAACATAACAGTTTAAATAATGTACCAGTAAGGTCTTCTCGCAGACCACCCTGAGAATTTGGGGGGGAGGGCTGAAGCCCTTCAAGCCCCCCCCCTACAGGCCTGGGTCATGTGTAAATAGCTAAGGCTGTATGTGCTGGTTTGCATGTGGTTGTCAGTCCTCCCTGCCAGCATTTCTCTGCACCTTTAGCTCTCGCAAGTTTCATTCCGATCCTGAAAGCGAGGCCAAATCTCCAGCAGTTCCTGGGGCCCAAAGTGATGTACAACTACGACCTTAGAGAATCGACACTTCTCATAGGTGATTTTGTAGACATTGAAGAGGCCCCAGGGGCTGTTTGTCACACTGATGCCCAGTTCGTGGAGGCAGATTCCCATGAAAGAATCTTCCATGTTGATTACTCTGATGGTCTGAGCCACCTTGTAGATCTTCGGGGCCAAATCCGCAGAAAACACATACCCAGGGCCTCCACAGTAGGGTGGGTAGGTGTCATTAGGATACACTTCCTTTGGCACATACCATTTGTAGGCTTTGCTACGAATTGGCTTTGTGTTTCTGTAGATGTACCCCGTCATATAGTCTTTCTTGGGGGGCAGGTGGGGCTGTAGCAGCTTGGACACCAGGTACTCCACATTCAGAAAGATATCGCTGTCTGCTTTCATGACGTACGAGGCATTGGGACAGAACTTGCTGATCCACTCCATGCCCATCAGAGTCTTGAGAGTAAGGTTGTTGTAGGTGTCTAGGAAGTCCTGCTGGACAATGTCTCTGTAGATGGAGCTCTCTTCTTCCAGCAGATTCTGCAGCGGGGATCCAAAGCGGGGATGGACGCCGGTCAAAAAGAGACGAAGGATGGAGACGCCAGGCACAGAGTTCTCATTGCCCCACGTCTTCCGGATGGCTTCCCTTTTGACAATATCTTGCGGCTCCGTTATCACAAACAAGACCAGGAAAGGCGATATCTTCTGGCACTTATCTGGTTCATTGAGACGGAATTTATACCCGTCCGAATAGACCACCTCTAAGGGGTGGCGTGTGCTTGCTGTTGGTGGTGTTGGAGATTGCAGGGCAAAGAATTTGGACTCCTTCCCCTCTTTAAGTGCAGATCCCCATTCAAAGTCTGGGGTGCTTTGAAGCGTCTGTGCAGAACCTGGACTTCTTTGGGCATTACTGAATAATTTTAATAACAGTGGAGAAACTTCAAAAATTTCCCTTTCAGGCCTTGCAACAAGTAGGAAAAGAAACATGGAACAGAGAACAAACAGCACCAAAGTAGGGAAACCCTGTGGATGGCACACAAACGCCTTCATGGTTGTCATTCCACGCTCTTTTGGGGTCAGGCTTGGAAAGCTAGCTGTGTGTCCTTTTTTTGTATGTTCCTCTCTCTTCTGCTGTTTGTTCCTGGAGAAAAAGTGGCAGCTTGGGATTGGATTTGGAGTAGGTTTCAGTCAAACTTCACGTCAGGCTTTGGTGGATTTGTTCTCACTTCTCTTAGTTGTTCCTGGAAGAAAAAGGTGCAGTTTATTTTTTATATATCTATATACCGTATATACTCGAGTATTAGCCGACCCGAATATAAGCCGAGGCACTTAATTTTACCACAAAAAACTGGGAAAACAGATTGACTCGAGTATAAGCCAAGGGTGGGAAATGCAGCAGCTACGGGTAAATTTCAAAATAAAAATAAATACCAATAAAATTATATTAATGAGGCATCTGGAGGGTAAATGTTTTTGAATATTTACATAAAAGTGTAATTTTTACATTAAACTTGCATACCCTTCCAATAAAAATAAATAGAGTAAAATAATAAATGTAATAATAACAATAATAAAGTAAAATAATATAATAGTAATAATAATAATAATAATAATAATAATAATAATAATACATTTATTACGTATTTATAACAGAGTAAAATAATAAATAATAGGGCTGGGCAACCACGGAAAAAATTGTTTCTAAACTCGATTCGTTTTTAGGGTTTTTTTGCGTTTCGATTTTTAAATTAATTCCGAAATTATCCTTTAAAAAATTTCGATATTTACGAAATTTCGTAAATTACAAATCAATTACGAATCGATTTCGAAACAATTACGAATCGATTCGTTAATGGCGGGCGCGATCGCGCAATACGCTAAAAAAACCTCCAAATGGGACAGGAAGCTTCCCTGTCCCTCTGTTGTTGACTGTTGGTGTGATAATTTTTTTTTTCACTGAGAAAACAAACAACGACTATAAAACTTGCACCAGACATGTGGAAATAATAACGAAACGATTTCGAATCAATTACGAATCGATTTCGAAACAATTACGAAACGAATTGAAAAAATTCGTTTCGTTTTTTAGTTGCTCCTGAATGGTTCAATATCGCTTCGTTAAAAAAAATAACGAATTAATAACGAATTACGAAATTAACGAACGAAACCGCCCAGCCCTAATAAATAACCTTGACTCAAGTACAAGCCGAGAGGGACTTTTTCAGCCCAAAAAAGGGTCTGAAAAAGTAGGCTTATACTCGAGTATATACAGTAAATAAAACTGTAATGTTTGTTTGTGGGATTGACATAACTCAAAAGCCACTGGGGGAATTGACACCAAATTAGGACAAAAGACACCTATCAGGCCAATGTATGTCCTTCACTCAAAAAAAATTGATTTTGTCATTTGGGAGTTGTAGTTGCTGGGATTTATAGTTCACCCACAATCAAAGAACATTCTGAACTCTACCAATAATGGAATCGAACCAAACTTGGCACACGGGACTCCCATGACCAACAGAAAATAGTGGAAGGGTTTGGTGGGCAGTGTCCTTTGGTTTTGAAGTTGTAGTTTACCTACATCCAGAGACTTTTTAAAGGAAGAGGTTATGCTCTTTATGTGTTGCTTGTGGCACAACTACCAGTGTAATGTAGAAGAATTTGTTATTATTAAATTATATCACAAGATAAAGGTTTAAAGTACATATCTCAACCAATTAGAAATGCAAGCTGATATTGTACAAATCAAAAATGCTAGCAAATATGCACTAACATAATGATCTATTTCCTGAACTGTTTTATCATTCTCACTTGTGTTTACTTAACCTGTGGTGTAACATGATTACGTTTCAAACCCAATGGCCCTGCTGTCGTCACTCTCCTCAAGATAAGCAGGATTTCCAACAGTGGAATGTGTGACCTGAGCAGACATAAAATCCGGGAAAATTAACCCAGAATCCTGGAACATAAAAAGCCGGGAAGGAAATGCATTCAAATTGAAGAATCCCTTTCTACCATGTAGTTAGTTCTGTTTCTCAATCTCTGTATGTCCCACTAAGTGCTGATGATCGTACCATTACCGCCCAAGCAGGGAGCTTTGAGATGGTTGAACAGAAGCTCTCCGAAGCTCTAGGTCAGTGTTTCTCAACCTGGGTGTCGGGACTCCTGTGGGGGTCGTGAAGGGGTGTCAGAGGGGTCGCCAAAGACTATCAGAAAACAATATTTTCTGTTGGTCATGGGGGTTCTGTGTGGGAAGTTTGGTCCAATTCTATCATTGGTGGGCTTCAGAATGCTCTCTGGTTGTAGGTGAACTATAAATCCCAGGAACTACAACTCCTAAATGTCAAGGTCTATTTCCCCCAAACTCTACCAGTGTTCACATTTGGGCATATTGAGGATTCATGCCAAGTTTGGTCCAGATCCATCATTGTTTGAATCCACAGTGCTCTCCGGATATAGGTGAACTACAACTCCAAAACACAAGGTCAATGCCCACCAAACCCTTCCAGTATTTTCTGATGGTCATGGGAGTTTAATTCCATCGTTGGTGGAGCTCAGAATGCTCTTTGATTGTAGGTGAACTATAAATCCCAGCAACTACAACTTCCAAATGAAAAAAATCACACACACCCCAGGCCCCACCAGTATTCAAATTGGGGTATTTGTGCCAAATTTGGTCCAGTGAATGAAAATACATCATACATATCAGATATTTACATTAGGATTCATAACATTAGTAGCATTACAGTTATGAAGTTGCAACAAAAATAATGTTGTGGTTAGGAGTCACCAGAACATGAGGAGCTGCATTAAGGGGTCACAGCATTCGGAAGGTTGAGAACCACTGATCTAGGTGCTCTCACTGCCTATTACAGGGAAAACCAGCTGATCCCTAATCCATCTAAAACACAGACATGTGCCTTTCACCTTAAGAACAGACAAGCATCCCGAGCTCTGAGGATTACCTGGGAAGGAATCCCACTGGAGTATTGCAGCACACCCAAATACCTGGGAGTCACGCTGGACCGTGCTCTGACCTACAAGAAGCACTGCCTGAACATCAAGCAAAAAGTGGGCTAGAAACAATATCATACGAAAGCTGACTGGCACAACCTGGGGATCACAACCAGACACAGTGAAGACATCTGCCCGTGCGCTATGCTACTCTGCTGCTGAGTATGCATGCCCAGTGTGGAACACATCTCACCACGCTAAAACAGTGGATGTGGCTCTTAATGAGACATGCCGCATTATCACGGGTGTCTGCGCCCTACACCACTGGAGAAATTACACGTTTAGCCGGTATTGCACCACCTGACATCCGCCGGGAAGTAGCAGCCAATATTGAAGACAGCGACATCTCCAGCTCATCCCTTGTTTGGGTATCAGCCAGCATGTCAATGACTAGTTTTCTTAGATCTACAGAGACACTCGCTGGAACACCTCAGCAAGCGAGAGTCCAAAAGTGGCAGGCTCAAACCCAGCACCTCAATCCGTGGGTGATACCAGATGAGAGACTCCCCCCTGGGCACACAGAAGCCTGGGCGACTTGGAAGGCGCTGAACAGACTGCGCTCTGGTACCACGAGATGCAGAGCCAATCGTAAGAAATGGAGCTACAAAGTTGAATCTACGACATGTGAGTGTGGAGAGGAGCAAACCACTGACCACCTGCTGCAATGCACCCTGAGCCCTGCCACATGCACAATGGAGGACCTTCTTATAGTAACACCAGAGGCACTCCAAGTGGCTAGATACTGGTCAAAGGACATTTAATCAACTACCAAGTTTGCAAAATTTGTGCTTTTTTTAGTCTGTTTGTTTGTTTTGTTCTGTTAGAAATATAATACAATGGTCTGGTTGCTAATGACACGATAAATAAAAATAATAATAACTAAGTTTGCCCACCCCCATTCTATGCCTCATGAATTAGGTAGACTTTGAAAAATAACATATACTACCCAATTGGCCAAAGCAGCAATTTGACTGCAGAAAACCAGAATTTGCAATCTGCTTTTCTCTCCATTTTCTCTTCCCACTGTTAACTGTGGGACTCCTGGAATGATCCAAACCTTTGTTGAATCTTCCAGCTGAACTGTAGCTGCTTAAAGAAACTTCAATTTAAGAGATAAGATCCTCCAGGGAGGCCCTGCTTTCCGTCCCACCATTGTCACAGGCACGATTGGTGGGGAGGAGAGACAGGGCCTTCTCGGTGACTGCTCCCCGGCTATGGAACTCCCTTCCTGGTGAGATCAGGTCGGCCTCCTCTCTCCTGTCATTAAGAAGGATGGTAAAAACTTGGCTGTGGGACCAAGCTTTCGGGACAGGGCAATAAAGCGGCAATAGGAAAGATGACCAGGCCAATGATTTGACGCGGATGACTAGGACGGTTTTAAATGGTGTATTTTAATATTGAGGTAAATGTTTTTTAATGTTTATGTATTGTATGTGAATCTGTGTCCCGACATTGAATGTTTGCCGTGTATATGTTGTGCTCCGCCCAGAGTCCCTTTCGGGGTGAGAAGGGTAGAATATAAATGTTTTAAATAAAATAATAAATAAATAAATAAAACATTTTCAGCATTACAAACCCTTGACAAGATGCTAGATAGAGCAAAGCAGCAGTGATCTTGATGCACTTGGATGGCTTTCAGTCCTGAAAGGGTCTTTGAGTGAAATTTCCAAATGCTAAGCACAAGGCTTTGAATGAAATTAACAGCAAAAGAGAAATATACCCTTTCTCTGTAGAAAAAGAGCAACACGGAAGAAAATGTTTTTAAGAAACAAGATGTGACATGTAGAGGTCATACAAAGTTCAAGCCTACATAGGACGTAGTTGTGTTGTGATTAAGCCAAAGGTTGTGGTTAAGCGCAGAGTCTGCAGATACAAGAAGGTACTTTCCATCAAAAGGTCAAGGGAGAGGGGCTAGAAAGAGAATACTTTCCATGACCAAAAAAATGTTCTTGTTTACTTGAGGGTATATAACGGTGTACAAAAGCCAAGGAGGCACGGTAGTCACTTGAAGGGTAGCATCTACGTATGCTGCCAGGCTGTCCGTCTTCTTCATGAAGAAACTAAAATAAACCTTGTTTTTTTTATATTTTTGGGGGACTGTCTCCTTCCTTACGTGCTCCCGTGATGTAACCTAAGAAGACCCAATTTAGGGCCTCTAACAGTCCCACATCAGACTATTTCTCC